ATATATATATATATTATAGTATAGACAATTATTTTACCATCCTAATAAATTTCCTTTTATTTATAAAAGACTGTTAAAGACTAAAATTGTATGTTCATTTGAATTTAAAATGATACTTTTATTTCCATAAATATCATATTTATTAATATTAGTATCCATTCAATACTATTTTTCTGAAATTTTAATTGTTTTAATAGGATTTGTTTTATTTCAACTTAAATTGTTGTTATTGTATCACAAACATAATTAGTTTTGAGTTTTTCTTTTTTGCTCAATTTTTTTACGGTCTGATAAAATTTGTCAGTGGATTTGACAGTAAATTAAATTTTCATGTCCACCTAATTTTGTATTCGGATAAGAGACTCAATAATTGTGCTATTCGTTCACCGAATTACTTACAAAGATTTAAGAACTGGTTATTGTCTGTTTATTTTGTTTCCATTAGTTTCATCTAATTTTCAAACTTTTCTAGAATACTTTGAACATTTTCTAACATCCTTTAGGACTTCATAACCTTTAACATTAATCTCACAATCAAAAATAAAGATATTTGACAAAATAATTTTTCCTAAATTTACTGTTTGGCATATTTAGAACACAAATTACCTGATTTAATTTGTTTAATTTTGACGTGTTTCTTTTAGAATTCTAAAAAATACAAGTAATTAAGGTAGAAATCACTATAATTATATTCTCTTTATAAATTTTAAAACAANAAAAATACAAGTAATTAAGGTAGAAATCACTATAATTATATTCTCTTTATAAATTTTAAAACAATATATTGTTTGTCTTTTTTTTTGAATGTAGCAAATAAAATCACGAGTAAACTTAATGTTGTTATTATCTTTTTTTTTTTTTACTTTAAATAATAAATCATCGTCACAACGATTAAAAATTTAACAAGTACTATATTTGTAGTTTATTTTTAAAATATACATTTATGCTTGCTTGCATCGTTATATTAGCTTTTATTTAATTAAATACTACATAAATTGATATCCATAAAAAAAATCTACAGAACTCAAACACTAAATATTTTTTCTTGTTTGTTTGTAATATTATATTTAAGACATAAAGTAATTTACAATAAAAAAT